GGGGATGACTGCCGAGACCTGCAAAGTCACAGCCCTAAAGGACACGGCATGTGTGGGGTTGCTTCCTTCTGTCTCTCGCCACGTGTACCTTTCCCAATTGCTCCTCATAACCTGGCCTTCCCTCATGTAGTAACCGAAGGGCCGTCTAAGTCCACATTCTGAGGGGACCTCCAGTCCAAGGTTCTAGGACTGGGCTGGGCCTTCCACAAAGTCACAAGTGGGCACTCCTTCAGACAGGTGTGCATTTTGGTGAATTGGCTTTGCCCACGGATGGGGGGTAAACACATTGTTCTCTTGACCCCTGTGGGTAAGAAAGGCCTTTCCCAGCAAGGGATTGGACCAGAACTGCAGGCAAAAGGTTTCCGCTACTTAAAGCAACAAATGATTTCACGTAACTTCTTACAAATGAAATACAAAGATGCTGTTGACTGTACTGGAAGAAAAATAAAGGGAGACTAGAGTAACCCTTTGGTACCACTTCATAATAAGTATTCTTAGTGGACCATTCTGAGGGGTAAGCCCAAGAGTGGAGCGCTAAGTCTGGGCAGAATGTCAAGCTACTTGACACACTTCATTGTCACGAAGTTGCATAATTGCTAGTTTTAGCGTCGGTAAGACTATTCTGTGCTAAGCGTCTGCATCCTTGATCTTTACCTGCGGATCCTGCAACTATCTAGGTCACTGTTGATTTTCCATTTCTCCTGAAATTACTAATCCAAATGTTCTTCAGGGTGTTTCCTGATAAAACTTTGATCACAAACTTTCTTAGTCAAGACGAAAACAATAGGAAATTTTATAGTAGCCAGCTAATCATCTTATCTTTAAAAACTCTATCACTTTACACGAAACTTCAAAATATACAGTCACCCTGACGCAGCTGGACTTATCTGGGAACTTTGCAAGCGCATCTCCGAAAGCAGTGGTCCGCAGGCCTTTGCTCTGGGAAAGGCTGCCCAGCAGACAGTTTTGGGCCCCACACCCTGAGTCATTGATTCAGTAGGTTGGGGCGGGGTCTGAGGAATTAATTTCCAATTCCCCGGGTGATGCTGATATGATTGGTTGGTGAGACCACTCACGCACTGACAACTCTTGTTCTAAATAAACATGGGCAGTGTCCTCAGATCTGTCTCCCCTCTCTAGAGGCCAGTGGAGAACTGTGAGGGAAGAGGCATCGAGAAGCAGAGGTGAAGAATCTTGGAAGAGGTTACTTATTTATTTTTACATACCCAGCATAGAGATGACCAACAATCACTCTTAGAAAACGCATGCCCTAAGCAGGGAATCCCGAGTCTTTATGAAATAACTTCCACGCTTTAGGCAAAAAGAGTATGTATCAGACAGATTTGTCTGCGAGAGCTGACCCTGAAGAAACACTTGAGATGTCAGAAGCAAGGTGTAATGGGTTGCCTTCATTTGAAAGGACCAATTCTAAATGATACTGTTTCCAGGTGGCAGAAACCAGAGACATGCATACCATCTATCTGACAGTAGCAAGTGAAGGTATAAGAGAATGCATAAAAGTACCTGATCCCAGGAAAGTGGAGCAACGTCTGCTTCTTTGTCCGTGGATACAGATAGATTAGGGTAGCCGTGAGCACGGCTTGGAATGCTGTTTTGCTTCCCCTGAAATTGGTAGATTGAGTCCCTTTTGTGACAGGTCCTTCTGGTCCAGAGAATGTCAAGGAGTTGGTCTAGTTCTGGAAATTTCATACAACATCTGGTGTCACACAGACCACAGACAGGTCAATTCCGGAAAAATCACAGTTTCCCAGACCCACAGCCTCAATGTTTTACAAAGTGAATTTGATTCCAACAAAAAATAGAGGGATTTTTCCCCCTTGAGTAAATAGATAGACATGAAAAAGAAATGACATTAGCTTGGGATATACACTGTAGCACTATTTGTAATAGCGAGCCAAAATTTCATCATAGCTGAATAAAGTGTGGTACTCCCCACAATAATGTACTGCACAGCTGTTAAAAAGGAATTGAAAATATCTCCAGATACCACTGTAAATTAATATTTCTGGATTATTGCTTTTAATCTTTCCCATTAAGGAGAACCAGGAATCTT